CAGGGTCAGTTGCCGCTTTTCGAGAGACTCTGGAGACATCTCCAGTAACTTGTCGAAGCGTGGGTACGTAGGCGCCTTCTCCGTAATCGACAAAGAAGAAGCGCGATTAGTTACTTCTACAACAGTATTGTCGCGGTCGGCAACGGCCGCGACAGGAGGATCAGGATCAGCAGCAGACATGGGATACGACGGCGGAAGCGAAGTAGACTAGGATCGAGAAGTCTCGATACCAATGTTACGATCGAGCCTATTTAAGAAACTTTCCACTTGTGTGGTGGGACCGAAAGGCCCCGAGTGATGGGTGGTGAGCCGTCTTATCGAACGGAAGTACGGCAAAGTGCATCAGATTAGTTGAAGGCCCATGGCGAAGGCCAAACTACACCGACGAACGATAACGAATAGCCGAATGAGAGTAGTGTAACAGCTCATGCTCGTTACACGAAGTAACTAACCAAGTCGTTGCATAGTTCGATTTGCGACAACGGGCAGCCTCCGGACAACGATACTCGCCAATAGCGACAAGGATTGCTTTGCGAAGGTCTCAATGTGTTTTATCGGAAGTATACATGCAAATTTGCCAAGGCAAAGTCCGTAATGACCGGAGACACACTTCTTCCATTTGGGACTGCTTTTGGAAACACTTGTTAGAGATCGTTATAAACTTCACCTCGCAGATACAATCTTCACCATGTAAAGTGGAAAGCTGTGCTGCCGGACGGCCGGATGTCTATAGAAGTGCTCCCGCTAGGTAAGGATCCCATCGATGATTCAGAAGAAGTTGCTATGGATGCAACCTCAAAGCTCATCTTCTTACGGCGCTGAACGCCAAACGGTGCCTACAGGCGCCGGCCAGGATGTGGGCCGCTCCTGCTGCATCGTGCGGATGGCGGGTCGCACAGTCATGTTTGACTGCGGCGCTCACTTCGGCTTCAGGTAGTTGTAGGCGCTCACCTTCATCCTGACCTGGTCCGACACCACGAGGGTTAACTCTCTTCATCTGGAGAGCCCCTCATCCCTCACCCCACATAACAATGGCTGCGGAGCGTTCCGACAGCCGCACCCACACGCAGACAACCCCCCTGGGCCCTATGGTCCAGACTGTTCTGGATGCGGAGCTGGTGTTAAAGGCGCACGTATGCCCCCCGGGCGCCCCGTGTCGTGTGTCACAAGTCGGCCACATCCTGGGGCCCGCACTCACCCGCAGGGACGCCCGCCGCTTTCCCGAGTTCGGACTTCTGTCCCGCGCGGGCCGCTTCACAGAGATCATCGATGCGGTCGTCATCACGCACTTCCACACCGATCACCTTGGCGCGCTGCCGTACTTCACCGAGGTACGATGTACGAAGGACGGTGTACGGCAGCATGTAGGACGGCACAAAGGATTTCCTCTAAGAGCGCGCTTAGTGCAGTCCGAATCTGCTCGGCCATTTGCGGCATGTATGTACGTAAGTATGATGTGTGGGACAGGGGGGGCATGTCTTCACCCTGCGGCCGCTACCTGGCAGACCCTGCCTTCCCCGGTATTTCGGTGCACCCTCATCTAGTCACCCTAGCCGACTCCTCGGTGGATCGCTCAGGTTCCGCACCCACCACCGGCATCCAACGGAATCTGCCGGATCAACACGGCGGCCCAACTCCATTCCTGGTCGGCTCGCAGGTCAACTTTATCCCAGGTCACCACCGTCCATCGACTAGAGGCACTCTTACCTTCCACCATCGGAAGGATTTTCGAACCTGACAGGTCTCGATCCCGGAACCTCCGGGGGCATCGGTGTGTGCGTTACCAGTAGTGCCTGACCAGTGTATGTAAGTATGTATGTATGCATGCATAAATGAATCCTTGTTGCCCCCGCAACCACGGCCCCAGTACCCCTCAACGTCCCTCTCCCCCCCCAAACCCCTTTTCCTGATGTGCAGATTTGTGGCTACCGTGGCCCCATCTTGATGACGTACCCCACATTCGCCATTGCGCCCATCATGTTGGCTGACTATGTTAAGGTGCAGTCGAAGTGTATGGGTTGGTGGTGATGGTGGTGGTGATGGTGATGGTGGTGGTGGTGGAGGTGGAGGTGGTGGGGAAAGATGTGTATGTGGGCGGCGGCGGGGGGCCCCCCGGCAAGAGACACGGTGTTGGTCCCTCTACTTACATACAAAAGACAAACACGGCAGTAAAGTGACCTAAACCCACACGCGCTACAACCCCCCGGCAACCCCCCCTCCCTCTACCCCGGGGGTTAAGGATTACAGGTGAATGCGGATCGCCCTGGTGAGCGGCTGCCGTACAACGAGCAGCATGTACGGGACTGTCTTCGTCGAGTGACGGCTGTCGACCTGCACCAGGTCTGTGGTCTAAGGGTTGGGTGTGTGTGTTGCTGGAATGAAGGCGTTGATTGACTGAATGGCGCTAACCTGGGTCTGATGCTACTGCCACTGCTACCACCCGCTATTGCTAGTGCTACTGCCGCTGCCACTGCTACCACCCGCTAGTGCTAGTGCTACTGCCACTGCGACCACCCGCTATTGCTAGTGCTAGTGCTACTGCCACTGCTACCGCTCCCCGCAGGTAGTGGTTGTAGCTCCGGGTCTTTCCTTCACGTTCCATTACGCGGGGCACGTGTTGGGAGCCGCCATGGTGCACATGACTGCGGGACATCTCACCGCGCTATACACAGGTGCAGGGGGGGGGAGATGGGTTGGTTGGGGGGGAAAGGGTTTTTATCTACCAGTGGGGGCTCAGGACGGGATGTGGTGTTAGTGTTGACCTAACCCTGGTCCGGGTGGGGGCAGCCCGCGGGTTGGTCCGGGCCGACGGTGAGGCATGTGGCACCCCTACCCACCTGCCCTAAACCCTATCTTACTTACATTCCTTCGCTGTTGCTACCGCTACTGCTATCGTTACTGCGGCTACTGCCCCACGGCCCCCCCTTCTTTCCAGGCGACTTCAACTCCTCCCCCGACCGGCACCTCGGCCCCGCGGAGGCCCCGCTGGCTTTGCTCCAGGGGGGCCCCTCAGGTGCCTCTGTACGGCACCCTGACGTACTCATTAGTGAAGCCACCTACGCAGCCACATTGCGGGACTCCAAACGGGCGAGGGAGAGGGACTTGCTGGGCGCGGTGGTGGAGACGGTGGCGGCGGGGGGCAAGGTGGGGGAGGGGAGGGAGTTCGGCTTTAGGAGAGAGTGTACGCGCGCGCGTGTGTGTGTATGTGTGTTGAGATGACACGTAGTACTAGTACGGCGGGACGGGGCGGGATGGCCCTTTTTGTGTCCGTTCAGACCGCGCGAAGGCAGCCTAACCCGAGCTATCGCATTATCTGGATATTGCCGTACAAGGTCGTACGCCATTGCTGCATGTGCGCAAGGCTTTATGCACAGGACTTGACACGACGCGTAGCGCTTTTACCTCCTCCCTTCCCCCCGCCCCCGCCACACACAACCCACACACACCCGCCCACGACACGCAAACACCGAAACACAACTTGGGCCCTGGAGGTTCTCATCCCCACCTTCGCCATGGGTCGAGCTCAGGAGCTGCTGATGCTGATAACGGACTGCTGGGAGCGGAACGGATTACAGGTCGGGTTGGGGGTGCGTGTGTGTATGTGGGGTTGGGGGTTTGGGGGGTGGGGTGGAGTTCCGGGTGTTTTTTGGGGGGGTCAGGGAACAGGGGAATTGTACGACTAAGGAAGCGTATTAAGCGTATATATCGTTAGGAGCTCCTTTAACCAATATTATTATTATTGTTGTTGTTCTTGTTGTTGTTGTTGTTGTTGTTGTTAAGATTCCAAGCACCGAGTGGTGGGTGGCCCGACATGTGGCGCCCGAAGTTTTGGAAAAGGAGGGAAGTGTCAATAAGCTTGTATGACGTCATGGGCCGTACGGGTGCTGCCGCACTTCAAGGACCGTTGTATGGAACTTGACAAACTTTTTATTGTACGGCATTTGTACTTTCTTTGCATGGTTGTACGGGAGCAGGTGCCTATTTATTTCAGCAGTGCAATGGCCGCCAGAGCGCTCGTGTATTACCAGTTGTTGCTGAATTGGACCAATGCTAATGTACGGCGGACCATCTTTGGCGCCGCTGCCAGCTCGACGGGGCCCGCCTTAGCAGCTGATGCCGGGGCCGCCGCGGCGCGGCACCGCAGCCAGTATTATCGGCCGTACAATGCACCCGACGAACCGGGTGGCGGAGGCAGTGGCGGCTGCAGACGCGGCGACGATAACCCGCTGGCAGTGGACTACGGACGTGCAGTAGACGACAGTGCTGACGAGCAGTTTGATGAGGGTAACGAGTACAGCAGCGATGATCAGTTGTACGACAGGGAGTATGGGGATGGCGGCGATGGAGAGGACGACGGGGCCAGAGGCGGCGATGGGCGGCCAGGCAGCGGAGAATGGGCAAGTGGTAGCGGTGGAGGTAGCGGCGGCAGTGGGAGCAGCAGCCGGCGGCGGTGGAGGCGGAGGCGACAGCCGATATTGCCTTTGGACATCTCACAAGAAGGTGGTGGCGACATGCGGCGTACGACAGCTGCACCCGCTGCCCACGCCGCTGCGGCTACTGCCGACGAGGATCACACTACTGCCCGTGGCGGCGGCAATGGAGGCGGCGGTGCACGAGGCGGCAGCGGTAGGGGCGTGTTTTCGGAGGCGGATGTGTACGGCATGTTCCGTACACGCCCTTGGGATCGCTCGCTGCTCAACGTAAGACCACTTCAAAATGAGCTCACGGAAAGGGATGGAAAGCGGCGGAATCTTACTTCTCGCCATTGTACAGCATTGTTACTTATTTAGTGTAAAAAAAATTAGAGCAGCCGAGGCGTGGTCAGAAACACCAGAAAAAGCAGCCAGGAGCAATATCCGGCATAACTACCCCAGCTGCTCAGCCCTAGAGTGCGTTCGCTTCGCTGGTTAGTGTGATCTGTATGTATGTCTTGACGAGTCTAATGTCTCGTCAAGCTCTCAACCCACCACCGCCACTGCAATGCTCCCTCAATTATAAAACGCACTGATGCCGATAACTGCATTCTCAATGTATGTATGTGTATAGGTATGTGTATGTATGTACGTACACATGTGCAAAGTAGGGGGGAAGGCATAGCTTCCCAGTGTGTGGCCACTACTAGCCCGCTGCCAGTCCCTGCTATGCTCCCCGGGGGGGGGGCACCTCCCGCGCCCTCCTCATTGCATCACCCGTGTGTGTGCGTGTGTGCGTGTGTGTGTGCGTGTGTGTGTGCGTGTGCGTGTGTGCTGCAACTTCTTTGAAGTTCCGGTTCAGCTCACGCCACCATCGGCACCATTATCCGCAATGGCAGCATCAACTCCCCTACTTCTGGTGCCTCTCACTACGGCCGGGAGGGTTCACCACAGTCCATCGGCATGGGGGGGTGCATCTGGCCCCTCACAGTTGAGGCAGTTAAATTCCGCTGTTGGCCAGGATCAATCCTGAACCTTCCAGGGACACTACGCCACGCTTTAGCATATTCACTGTGTCTTTGTAAATGTTCATATATGTGTGTGCACACACATACATACAACATGGATGATGCTGGTGGTGGGTGCGGAACCTGAGCGATCCACTGAGAAGTTGACTAGGGTGACCGGATGAGGGTGCCCTGAAATACCGGGGAAGGCAGGGTTTCGCAGGGTAGCTGCCACGGGCGAAGATATAATCCCTTGTTTCACACATCATACAACATACACGTCAATTTTGGCCCTGCACTGATTCTCCTTTCCTTGTAGCGCAACATCAGTGTCCGCAAGTCTTTAGGTCTTGGTCTGGAGCAGCGGTAAATGCCTGGGTCCTTTGATAGGAATATTTGATAGGAAAGGCCAACAGGTCACTGATCTGTTCACGACAGCAGTACAGGAGCAATGACAAAAAGTGTCACACCCATTCAGGCCAATCAGAAACCAGTGATGGACATTTTTTGAAACCTAAACCTCAAGGATAAGGAGCATCACCTATAGATGCAAGGAGGCGGACGAACAGGTGTACATCAACCAAGCGCATTGGATACACAAGGAAGCCAATAAAGTCAAGCCAATAAATATTCCTATCAAAGGACCCAGGCATTTACCGCTGCTCCAGACCAAGACCTAAAGACTTGCGGACCAGCCAGAACGAATGGACACTCGCAGTATTCGTCCTCCGCTACTCTTACCCCCTTCCCCTTCACCCCCCTTCACCCTCACCCCCTCCCCTTCCCCCGCCCTCCAAACCCATCCCCCCCGCGGCTCCAGGCCCCCGGACCCGCGCTGCTGTTCGCCTCCCCCGGCAACATCGCCAGTGGGGTGGCACTGGAGGCGTTCCGGTCCTGGGCCGGCAGCTCCAAGAACTTGCTTGTGCTGGCCGGATACCAAGTACGAGGTGGGTTTGGCTTCGGAAGGGGGTAGCTGGGGGTGCGGAGGAAGAGCGGGGCATGACAACCTTTGTGGTGGTCGTAGTGGTGGTCGTAGTGGTGGTGAACGGTCGTGTGTGTGTGTGTGTGTGAGAGAGAGAGAGAGAGAGAGAGAGAGAGAGAGAGAGGGGGAAGGTAGGTCAGGAAAGGGTGTTTTAGAGGCGCAAGTGAGGACCCTCCCGCCCCATCCCCATACCCCGCCCAGCCTGGTCAGTCCACCGCGGTGTCACTGTTTGGGGAAAGGTTTTTCTCTCCATGCAGCGGTCGCCTTCCCTTCCCTTCCCTTCCCTTCCCTTCCACAATCCCATATCCCCTAGGGACTTTGGGCGCACGGCTGGAAGCAATCCAGAACACCCCAGCGGGGCAGAGGCAGCAACAGCAACAGCAACAGCAACACCAGCAGCGTACAGGGGCTGGTGGCGGTGGCGGCGACTCGGCTCCCACTGCTAGTTCTACTGCTACTGTGGAGGTGCCGAACCTGCCGGCCCCCGGAGGCGCCACTGCCGGCGGCGGCGGCGGCGGTGGCAGCAGCCGCGTGGAGGTACGGTGTCGTATCAAGATGTTGGCGTTTTCAGCTCATGCGGATCTGCGCGGGTTGCTGGGCCTTGTGCGGCGGTGCAAACCGAGGGCGGTGGTGCTGGTGCACGGACAGAGGGAGCCCATGGAGTTCCTGAGGTGACTGTGTGTGTTGGGTGGGTGGGGGGGTTGGGGGGCGGGCGTGGCGGGGGGAGAGGGGAGGGGGAGGGGATAGAGGCAGGGGGCTGAGGGTCCCCCAAAGCGGGCGGAGAGAGGGGTCGTGGGAGCCGGCAGAGGTGGCGCAGGGAGCTGGAGGAGGCGCGAGGAAAAGGAAGGAAAGTGGAGTTGTCGGGAACTGCGGGTGGTCGGGAACTCTGGACGTGACACACGTGTGCCCCTCCTCCGACAGCGAACACAGCTGCCTCGCCACGGGGTTCCGGAGCCGCCCTTCTGACCGCGTTAATCCCCCTTTATTCCGCTTTCCAGCCTCAGCACGACCCCCCTTAGATGGCTTTCTTTCTGTCCCGCCTGGCCCCGCTTCTGGATGCCTTCACGTGCAGTGTGCACACCCTTCCTGCCGCCTCTGCGTCTCTTTCCCCTTTCCCCTCCCTTCCAAGGGGCCGCATTGAGACGCATGTGGGTATCGAGTGCCATGCGCCGGCTACAGGTACCACCGTCACCATAGCGCCGCGACGTGCCGTACCACTAGGTGTACGACCGCAGCTCGTGTCGACGAGCAACTGTGCCGCGGGAGCCCTGGCGGCGCAATCCGCCGCAGTCGCCGCAGGGTTGGCGCGCAAGGCGCAGCTGCTATGTCGCCTGAAACCTCAACCGCTGACGGCGTTGCCGCTGAGTGGGATTGTGGTAGCACGTGTAACGCCTGCAGCCGCACATCAGCTACAGCCGGGGCCGGTGCAGCAGCAGCAGCAACAACATCCGGCCCTACCCGCTGATGGCGGCGGCGGCGGCGGCGTGTCAGCAACGCAGTTGACACTGACGGATTCGGGCACTGCAGCGAAGGTGCTGTTACAGGCGTACCAGGAATCGAAGCAACAAAGCGAACAGCAGGCGGCCACGGCCGTTATGCCGTACGCCATCTCGTACGGATGTACACTTGACGTACGGCTCCCGAGGGCGGCTGAAACAGACACGGCAGTGGCAGCGGCGCTTGCTCTTGCACATACGGCTCTCTGTACGGCAGTGGGAGGCTACTCGGCTAGTCGGAGGCTGCAGGTGGACACGGACGCCATGGCCCTGAGCTTCGGGACGTTCAGGGCGCAGCTGTCGGTGGCGGCTTCAAATGCCGGATCGAAAGATAATTTCAAGTATGACGATGTATTATCGCGGGCTGGAGGACAGGATGCTAATGTTATCGGAGCTGCCGCGGTGGTGGGTGAGAGCCCTGTTATCAGTCATGACGGTGATGGCGACGGTAGCGCTGATTGCGGAGGTATTGAGGGTAGCAGAGGGGCGGTGTCCATGTCACCGCAGCCGCCGCCGCCGCTGCTGCAGATGCGCATGGCATGTCAGTGGTCTGCGAGTGAGGTCGCGGCCGCCTGCCGCTGCCTGGAAGCGCTTCGGCGCGCGTTCGGTATCACCGACAACCCGGCGGCATGAAGAGTTGCTAAGCTATCATCAGGCTTTCCCGAAGTAGGCTCCTGCATTGCCTTTAGGGGCCTTCTTCCCGTGCGTGCATGCGTATTAAAAATTGTACGAGTGTATGAGTGCTATAGAGGGTATGTGCGTTAACTTCTTAGCGTCGAGCTAATAGGGCATACGCTTTTTACTTACGGAGCAACTGTAAAAGGAGCTGTTAATTCAACGAAGAGGTGGCATAAGTTTGGAGACCATGCGCGTGTTCATGCGCCAACGTACTACGCAATGTACGGCGAGGGGACTCATAAAGCCCCAAGCAGTTATTACTTGTGGGAAAGGTTTCCTAAGCTACATTGCGGTGTACGAATGTGAGTTCACCTAACCCACATTCACACGAACACATTTCTGAACGCATCCCCCCCAACCATAAAAAAATTACATTTAATGGCTCTCAACGGGGCCGACCCTGTACGCAGCCACATCAGCCCTGATCCTTTCTTTTCTTTTCTTCCCACGAAGCTTCAAAAGTCGCTGTGATCCGGAACCCCAAAATAACTGAGATGCCTAAAAGGGGAGAGGGAAGGGAGGGGAGCGCTACCCTGGGCAGACAGCCCCCAAAAGCGAAAGAGAGAGAAACACGTGCACGCGGGGTCGCTCCAGCACATGTCGTTTCTGTGAAAGGCCCCGAGCGGCACAGCGTGTGTGAACCTGCCCACCTGCCTACACACCAACACAAACACAGGGGACCCAGCTCGGGCCCAGCTGCACCAGCCACGTGGCCACATAGCTGTTATACCTGCCTGGTTCGGGGCAACCTGTCAACATGCTGCACGCACGCACGCACATACATACATGCATACATAGATACACACACACTTTTCCACTCGCACCTTCCTTTCCAGAGTTCTATATCCACTTCTCGTCGGCCCCAAATCAACAATCACAATCGCAATCCAATCAATGCAACACAAAAAGGCCCGTAACGTATACTCGCACGCAGTCACGCACTCAGAGTTCGAAAGGAGAGGACATCACAGAGAAAAAAAGGGACGTGAAAAAAAACTAAACAGCGCACATGACACTCAGCCTGCATGCCTGCCGGTCTACAGCTCACCAAGCGGGGACGTTCTCCGAAAAAAACAACGTTGGGGTTATGACGTCAAAGTTGTCAATACTCTCCTCGCCTGTCGGCACCCTTGCCTTGCCTTCCTTGCCTTGCCTTCCTTGCCTTGCTTTCCAGGCGCTAGGCACTCGGGTCAACAACGTGCCTTGAAGGTCTTGAAGGGCGCCCGCCCAAGTAATGATAGTGGGCCGACGACGCTCGCCAATAAAGGTTAAAGTCAACCAAACGCCGTGCTACCCGCTGATGAGCTATGTAATATCCTCGGCGTCGCAGCCACTGTGGCCAACGCCGCAATCACCCACGTCCTTTCCCCGTTAGGAGTGCGGCCGCCTCGACGTTCGCTTTTAGCAGTAACTGCCGAAGCGTGTGTGTAAGTACGTATGTATGTCGATGTGCCCCGTCGAAACAACGCCAACGAGCTAGCTGCTATACCCGTTTCGTGCACAGCACTGTACGGCATAGACGTACAGATAGGAAAGTATCTAGGAGCCACCGAGCACGTGCTCTGCGGTGTCTCGCGCCTGCATCGTACACGCGATCCCAATACTCGGTGATGTTGGGGTGATGTTGAAAGGGGCAGACTTGTGCAAGGGCCTCGTATCCTTCGACATGCTTTTAACACACACCGATACACATACATACATACATACACACAGGCGCGCGCAGACATAAACGAGTCATTGCAACTCTCTTTTGTGTCACAGCAACATCATCACCGCTGTCAATTCACCTCAACATGCGACGCCGCCAGCCCCCCCTTTTAGGGGTGCGCGGACACCAAAAGCGGTGCAAAAAGCACCTCTGGCACTGAGCACTGAGCAATAAATGCCTGCGGGATTACAACAGAAGCCTGGCAAAAGCAAAAGCAACGAAGCCGACAAGCCGTTAACTTCCTTCACCTCTCTTCTGTCGCGGAGCCGGAGCCGGAGCCAGTCCACAGCCTCCCAGAGCCGCCGTCAACAGGGAAAGGCACACACACCAGACAGACACACAGACAGACAGACACAGAGAGAGAGAGGGAGAGAGATGGAAAAGGACAAGGTTGACTGGCCGAAGCCTCCTCCTGCCTGGGGGGTTGGGGGGTGGTCCTTGAAAGCAACCTCCCGACCACCGAATTCACCCACATTCACCGACGCGGCAACGTATATCCCACCGCCGGCAGCTGCGGTTGAAAACGGGCCTCAGCCGCCATCTTATACACGGACACTGCGACCACCAGGGCAGCAGCGAACATGCACTCCTTGATTGTGCTGTACATGAGCGCATGATCAATGAGTACTGCAACCTTGTCGTAACCCAGAGCGGCAAGGCAACAAGGCACCTTTGACGACGCAAGTGATGGGCAGCGACACTGACGAGAGGCCGCATCGCTACATCTCGTCAAAGTTGAGGCGCTTGCTGATACCACCGTAGGTGTGGCGGAGGAACTCCGCATCCGCCACAGCTGCCGGCTGGCTAACTGGCGGCTCCGCTGCCGCAGGCTGCGATGGCGGCTGCTCAGCGGGTTGCTGGGCGGGTTGTGCAGCCGCCGCCGCCGCCGCCGCCGCCGCAGCTGCCTGTTTGCCATGTGGTGCAGCGGGCGCTCCTGTAGCTGCACGCGGACGACCAACCCGCCTTTTAGCGACTTGCCCTGCCGTACAGTCCTCTGCTGCTGCGGCGGCGGCGGCGGCGGCCGCTGTCGCGGATTGCGGGATGGCTGGGTGCGGCACAGTAGCAGTGGCAGCGGCCGCCGCTACGGCCATGGTGGCCGCTGCAGCCGCGGCGGCAGCGGCAGCCTGGTCTGCGGCACGCACCGCCGCCAGGTCATGCCGTCGTGCCGCCAGCACTGACTCAAGCGACACGCAGGCGCAGCGCACCGCCGCTGCCAGGTGCTGCTCCCGTGAGGTCAGCTGCAGCTCGAGGGGGGCGATACCCACAGGCCAGCCGCCGACGCCGACGCCGCCAGCAGCGGGGACGCTGTTCATCACGGCGCGTGCAGTGGCAGTAGCGCCGCCGGCAACAGTCTCAGTCGTACATCCGGTTTTCGCTGCTGCTGCCGCTGTTGCCGCGGCTGCACTTTCTGCTGCTGCCACTTCCGTCGGGCCGACAGGGAGGGTTCCGCTCTTGGCAGCGATGGCACTGCTACCAGACCGGCGGCCATCCGCGGCAGCAGCAGCCGGTACTTCCGGAGCCGGCATGTCCTTACTGTACGGCATGACCGGAGAGGTTAATGACACAGCAGATGGGAAGAGGGCCCCGCGTAGCAGAGTAGACCGGGCCCCGGCAGCACCTTCGTCAGCCGTCGCGGCCGCTGGTGGAGCTGGCGCCGCCGCCGCCGCCGCGGCAGGAGGCTCAGGCAGCACGACAACACCAGCAGCGGCGCCAGAGGAGCCGCGATGATGCTCGTCCGCATCCTCCGCGCCATCCATTTCACTGACACGGCGCCTCTTTGGCAGAGGCGATACCACAGGCCCAGGTCCAGTAGCCAGTGCTGCGGCTGCCGCCGTCGCTGCCCCTGCTGGTACAGCCCCACCACTGCCCGCCGTTGCTTCGACGCCAACAGCCCGCTCAGCGACTGCCGGTGCGACAGGTTCCCCTTCCTCTACAGCCACCCGTACCCTCCGTGTCGCAGCACCCTTCCTTGCGCGCGTCCGCCTGGACGCCGCCGCCGCCGCTGCCGGCACCGCTGCCGCTGGGGCCGCCACCGCTGCGTCGTTATCTTCCCCTTCCCCTTCCTCCGCTGCGCCCTCGACCTCATCAGCCGCTGCTACATTCTCCGCAGCGCTCGCCGCCGCCGCAACTGCTCCCCGTGCCGCTGCTGGGCGAGAACCCTTCCGTGCACGGCCCGGCGCCCTCGCCGACGACCCTGCTGCCGCAGCTGCGCCGCGCCGCCGGCCTCTGCGCGCCGGCTGCTGCTCTTCCGGCGGCGGCGGCGGCAGCACCAGTTCAACCTCCAGCGGGATTTTCACCGCCGCTGCCGCCGGCTCCACTAGCACAACCTCCGGGCTCCCAACCGGCAGTCGCAACACCACCCCGTCGGCGAGAACATTACCATCATCGCTGCCATGACTACCGTCCCTGGCCGCCCGCCCTGACAAAATGCCCCCAAAGGACGGCCGCCGCTGACGCGGCGGAGGCGACGACGCCGGCAGCTCAGCGCCGCTGCCGCTGTGCGCTCCTCCCACCCCGACGGCCATTTGAACGACCGCCGCCCGTCCCGCCCGGCCTCCGAGGACTGCCGGCGCCGCTGCATGGAAGCGCGGCGGCAGCAGCACGGCGCTGCCGGACCCGCCATCCGGGCCCCGCGGCGGCAGCGCCTCCTGGCGCCTGGCGATGAGGAAGGCGATCCATGGATCCAAGGCGCCGAGGTGGTTTCGGAGCTCGGTATCGGAGTCCAGCTCGGACATGAGCAGCGGCGGCGGTAGCGACCTCAGCACGCGGGCCGTGCAGACCAGGGCCCGCAGACAGGTCTCCCGCACAGTGGTTTCGGAGCAATGTGCACCATGGCACAGCGCGCGCAGCCAGCCTGAATGCATGCATGTAGGCGTAGTACGCATGTCCGTATGTATGCACGTCCGCACGAGAGCGATGAGATGGGAACAGGGAGGGTTAAGGCAACGGTTAAGGCGGAGGTCTCTCCCTAGTGATAAAAGTGATTAAAGTGAAGTTAACATTACCGCTGAGGATGAGGGTGCGGGTGAGGGTGCGGGAACTGGAGGGAGGTGAAGGCAGAACGTTAACAGCCTCGTGAGCGATATAGTCTCCAACATCGTATGCGGCGACGCCGTCGCCTCTGTTGCTTTCCACTACTCCGGCGCCTCCTCAGACGCAACCTCCTGTAACCCCGAACTACTCACCAGTCATGTGCAGGTGCCGAACCACCTCGCTGTCCGCCAAACGCTCCATCAAACCGTCCAACAACTCGCACAGCGTCTCGAGCGTTATTGAGTCATGTGGCACGTCGTCGACGGAGGCGGCGCCGGCGCAAGCTGCTGCCGCCGCCATCGCGGGTCCTATGTCGCCGTCGACCACATGGAGGCCCACCCCCCGCGGCGCCTGCAGCGGCAACGGCGACGCCAGCCCCGCGGCCAGGCGGCTGCCCCGGCGGCTGCGTCCCGGGATGAGCGCCGGCGGCACTGCCGTACGCATACCGCTGGCGGAGATGGAGTGTCGTGTGGGGGAGTCGACGATCAAAGCTGCCGCCGCTGCTGCTGCAGCAGCAGCATGTACAGCGGAGCCGGCCACGCTCCCGCTGCCTGCTGCCGCCGCCGTGGCGGCGGCAGCGGCAGCGGCGCAGCCGCCCCACGGCGGCGTCCGCTGTCCAGGATGCATTGGGATGCCGCTCGCGGCCCCGCTGCCATGGGCGCTATTCATGGGCGTGCTAAGCCGGCCTCCGCGGCTTCCCGGGTACGGCATCGTAGACTGGGAGTTAGTACGGCCCAAGTTACACGCGCCTTTATCCTCCACGCCAGCCGGGGCGCCGGGGATAGCTACGAAGCTACTCAAGGGCGCATCCGTGGCGGCGACGGCGGTGGCCAGCGGTGGCAGTGCGATGGCTCGTGGCGCAGGGCTGGGGGAGGCCATGCGGGGCAGCCGCAGCAGCAGGCCTTGTAGGTATGGGGCCCAGAGAGCCAGCACTTGGACAATCAGCCTCCGGCGCTGTGAAGTAAAAAACGCGGTGATGACAAAGAAAGGGAAAAGGGGAACGCGGCTATTCGGGTAGTGTGGTGTGGTGTGGTGTGGTGTCTGGCGCGTTATAATGTGTTGCTTGGCCTGGAGGAAGGGCGCGACCGACTGCTATGCGGCAGGACACGTATGTGTGCAACCATGCATGAAACAGCAACCACATCCTCCCGATCCCTGCCGCCGCCGCCTCCTCCTCCTCCTCCTCCGTTATTGCGGTATGGTGTGGTGTGGTGTGTGGTGACCTGGTGTGTGGTGTGGTGTGTGGTGTGGTGTGTGGTGTGGTGTGTGGTGTGGTGTGTGGTGACCTGGTGGATACAAAAGAATTATAAACCATAAAATGCAGCTAAACCCCGTGCCGCCTGAGTGCCTCATCATCTTGAGGACCCCCTTCCCGCCCAGGAATAAAAGCGCACCTGTGCTTTGCTGTGACTCCACCGGAGCACCCTCAGTAGCACGGCCACCATCGCGGCGCGTGCTGAGGCACAGCGCGGAGATGACCCGTGGGTCAGTGCCGCCAGAGGGCCCAGCAGCTGCAGCACCACGTCATGCCCGGCGCAGGGCTGCTCGCCGGCAGACATAAGGCCCAAGAGCTCTACGTTTTTTCCGGGCGGGTTATCATAAACAACGTGGAAAACCATAACATTAGGACAGCGCAAAAAGAACAGATTGCGATGCTTTACTTTGCACGATATTGCATTACATGCAGTACGCGCGGAGGTTACGGTTGGCGTTGGGGGTTCTTAACCTCGAGACACATCTCACTCTCTGGGGACGAAATGGGCCTCTTTTCACTCTTGCATCCCTCCCGACACCCCTCTCAACACCCACATCTTTCACAACACCCCTCTCACTATAGTGAGCGCTCTCACTTTACAAGGTCTTGCAGCGGCCATCGCTCTCGTCGCTCCATCCCTTTATCCCCCCCATCCACTGCCTACAACCATCCCCTGGGTGAGCATGAGCAATGAGGGAGCAAGTGGCAGCAGCACATTCTCCGACCTCCCCTTGCCTCAACCACGCTTACCGATATCGTCCAACTTACCCCAGCTTCGAGACGTTGGATTCTCCAGAGAGCCCTCCTCGGGGCTTTGGGTGGGGGTGGCGGCGGGGGGGGCAGGTGCCTCAGCTTCGCGCGCCAGCAGCGGCAGCGCGGGCAATCGGCGGCTTTGCTCGGAGGGTGTTCGAAGCAACAGCACGCCGCCCAGCGCCGCCAATGCTTCGGGCTGCTGTTGCAGCCCACCACAGCCGTACGCGCCGGCCCCGGAAAGCAGTAGCAGCTTCACGAGCAGGCCGAGCGCCTGCGCCGCAGTGATGCCATGCAGCGGCTCCTCGTTCCAGCAGTGCCGCCCTGCTACCTGGCCGGTAGTAATCTCCTTGGTGGACGAGCTGCCTCCAATGCCGCCGATGGTCGATGCGGTAGGAACGGCGGCGGCGGCCCCCAGCGGGTCCGCCGTCGGAGCCGTCGTCTCTGTTGGCGGAGATGCCGTGGCGGCGGCGCGGACCACACGCGCTGCTGCGTGCACTGCACCTGCCTCGACCAAGCGGGCTGCATGCGAGGCGTCAAGTGCCGGGATCAGCAACGCGACGGACTGAAGAAGCACTGCCTGGGTCTCGATAACAAGCTTAGCTCGCTCCGTTGGCGAGGTTGCGGTGGCGGCCGTTGCCGCGGCGGCCACCGCCGCCAGCCACGCCCCAACCGCGCCGCTAGCGGCCGTCGCCAGAGCGTTGTTCACTACTCCTTGGCTCACTGCGTCAACGTCCTCGGATCGTTGTTGCTCCTGCTGCTGCCGCATCTGCACGTCCAGGGAATCTTGTTGCTGCCGCGCATCTGCGAAACGCGCGACCAGCACGTCCACAAGGGCTTCGAGAAACTTGGCGTGACCTGGGTCGTCCGCTGTCAATACCTCCGACGCCGCCGCCGCATCGGCGGCTGCACGGCCGCCGTCGGCTGCTACAGCAGGTGCCGCCGCCGCCGCCGCAACCGCTGTTGCTGAAGCGTTCGACTCCCCCTTCAACCGCGCAGATGCTGCAGCTCCCTTTCGGTCGGCTCCTTGCGCCAATGCCGCCGCGGCCTCGTCCCTTTGTCGCTTGATGCGCGCGCTGCGGCGCAGCTGAGGCTCAGCGGGCTTCGCGGCCGGAAGGCGCTCCTTAGCGGGCGGCGGCGGCGGCGGCGCCACAGCGGCGGTTTCCTTGGTAACGGTCCCAACGGGCGCACCGCTGGCCCCTGGAGCGGCAGCGGCGACTGCAGTCGTCTTGCTTTGGTCGCGCTCCCGGCGTCTTCGGATCAAAGACTCGTAGCCACCGCCGCTGCACAGCCATACATTCGCCAGTCCTAGCGCCATATGTGCCTCCGCAACACCAGCAGCGGCGCTGTCCGTACGGCGCGCCAGGCAAGAAGCAACACGTTCAAGGCAATCGGCAAACGTTACCAGACGCCGGGCCAGCTGGGGCCGTGTGATGGACTGGAGAGTTGCGCCCACGGCACGCAGGATCGCCAGCGGCATGGCCTCCACACGGGCCGCGACGAGCTCGGCGGGTGCTGGCGGCACCGCCGGCGCTGTAGCAGGCGCGACGCTCGCCGCGGCTACTGCCGCGGGTACGGCCTCCACAGCTTGGATGGCGCGTTCCAAGATGACCCGTAAGACGGGGCCGCAGTGCTCCATAAGCCCCGAGGAAACAGGCTTGTCGCCGTATGGCGCACTGGGTAGCGCGGGGCCAGGGCACTCGGCGACGGCTCCTACCGCAGAGCCCTGCACCGCGCAGTGGGGGTGCTCTAATCCCCAAAACCAGTCGAGCGCTGCTGAGACGGCGGCAGTGCTACCGCCAGTCAGTGAGCCGGCAGCGACGGCGGCGGCGTTTCCTGGACCGGCCGCGGCCAATGCGGGAAGCAACACGTTGGCGGCAGAAGACGCTTGTTTATTCGCGGCGGAGCTTGTTGAGGCAAGGCCGCGGGCTGCGGCAGCGGCGCTGCTGCCGTCACCGCTGTCGCTGCCACCGCCAAGGCCCTGGATGAGGTTCAGCGCGTACGGAAGCAAATCCTGCGCGCGCCATAGACCGCCGTTGGCGGTCGCCGTCAGGCTTGTGGTCAGTGGCGGCGGTCCTGACAGCACGGCAAACGCACGTGTGTGACTGTATGACAAAGCGTCAAACAGGCAGGTGGGCATCGGCGCCGCCGCCAGTAGCGCCGCCACGCAGCAATCCAGCTGCGCCGCTTCCTTGCGGCGCCGTCGATGCTCTTCGACCTTGTGAGCAAGCAGCGCCTTCTCGCATTCTCGCCGCTCTGCCTCGCCATACGGCGCCTTGACCCCCATCGGCTGCGGCAGCGGCGCCGGCGACAGTACGGCATTGTAAGACAGTCGCATGTAGTAACCTGTCACACGCATTAGCAGGGCCTCCAGTGGCACGTCTACGTCAGGTGCTAGACCCAAATGGGTCGTCATGGCGGACTCCGCCGCCGAGACAGCGGCGACAGTGGCACCGCCCCCGGGCGGCACCAATGCCCCCGGCCTAGGGACAGGCGCTACCGCCGCCGGGGCTGCATCAGGCGCCGGTGCTACAGCAGCCGGGCCCCGGCGGGGCCGGCCTGCCGCCGCTGTCACCGCAAGCCCCGCCGCCGCCGCCCCAGCAGCAGCTGCTACGGCACCTCCACCGCCGCGGCCGGCACCATTAGCCGCCGCTTCTACGGCAAGCGCACCCGCCTTGCCCCGCCTGCTCTTGGCGGGAGCCGCCTGCAGATCAGCAGCTGCCGCCGCCGCGAGCCCCGCCCGCGCCTTCTGTCCCGCTGCGTTGCCCTGCTGCTTGGCGTCCGCCACGTCCTGGTGCCCCGCCTCGGTCTCCTTCAGCTGTTGCTGTTGCTGCTGCTGGGCCGGCAACGGCAGCGGCCCTGTGGCATTGGCAGCCGCTTGCTCTTGCTGCGTCTGTTGCTTCGCAATCAGCTTGTGCAGTGCGCCGGCAATCTGGTGACAGGTGATCGGAAAGAGGTCTGAGAGGGCGAGTAGCAGTCTCGCGGCAATGTCGGGGCTGTCCTCCAGCACCACGTCCAGAGCACTGACGAGACCGGGGAGCGGCCGCCAGCGCGCCAGACTGGCACGGACGGCCGCGTTGCGACGGCGGGCGAGGTTGTGGATCACCTGGGAGGGAGGGAGGGAGGGAGGGAGAAAGGGAGCGAGGATTTGGAAGGTTTGACACAGGAGAACAAAGGAGTGAGAAATTTTTTTAGCGGCAAAATGGCGGTAAAACTTTCCTTCTATTGAAAGAGCAGCGTGACAATGAGTGTGTGCTTCTGCCGCCGCCGCCGATGACTCTCTGTCAAGGACAGAACGCGCCGAGGGACTTGGAAAAAAAAACCGGGCTGAACGCCGCAGCGGGGGAGATGCAACGCGACGATGCGAAAGCAAGGTCCCGAGGAGACATCAAGAGGAGGCAATGCTGCATGCTCCGTTTTGGAAGGGACATAGTACTGGGACCCTACTGGGGACTATACATACAACCCTGGGAGGAGGGCACGCAGCTGCTGCTGCTGTTGGCGCATGACAGCCGCAAGGAAACATCACCATACACCACCGACACACATCCAGTTTGTAGTCTTACGCACCCTCACGGAGTACATCACCGTCATCACTAACAGCAGCATTGGCAGCAATAACGGTAACAAGAACAACAACATGGACAACAAGAACAACAGCATGGACAACAAGAACAACAACATGGACAGCAACGGTAACAAGAAACGCGCGTTGATTCCAGTCAGGCACAGCTTCTGCAGCACCCGTCAATGCAAGACATCCATTTCGCGGATCACAACCCCCTTCCCTCTCTATATCTGGTATCTGCTTCACTCGTCCATGGTTCGTCTTACCCCCCTCCCTCTTGTCAAGCATTCTGACAAGTAAGCTACTTCCAGGTGAGTCCGATATCCCCATAGAGAACAAATACCCAATAGAAGTACGTCCGCTTCACCTGACAGCATCGATGCGCGACAGCGACGCACCCTATCACCATCGCCACCACCTTCACCTTCACCACCATCGCCATCACCACCAACCGCTCCTCCAACCGTAACGCACAACGCAACAAAATCTCCAAAAGCCCCCGAACACAGCACCCACACATGACGCGCCCACCAACACCTATCAGGCCACATCAGAAGCCGCATTCACACCAGCACAGGCATTCACAAGAATCAGTACCGCCTTATCCGACACACACACACACATATATATAACAACCGTACACAGAGTGTACCACATACCTGGGAGGCCAGCTGTCGTACGGGCACGAAATTCATCCCAGTTCTCTGCGTGAGCATCTCAAGCAGCCGGGGCACCGCACCCGCGCTGATTATTCGCAGGGCCAGCCAGTCCCCAAGTCCAAGCCCGCCCAGCGCTTGTACGGCGTCCGCGACCGCCGCGGGGTCCTCCCCCGTCTGAACACCGCCGCCGCCGCCACCACCAGCCGCGGCAGCCATCACCGCAGCCGCAGCGACAGCAGCTGCCGCTGAGGACCCGCAGCTACTCGAGCTTCCCGGGGCGGGCAGTGGCAGGGTTGCGATGCCAGCTGGGTCCAGTCGGCGATCTGGGCCAAGACCCACAGCGGATAGGGACAGCAGCCCGTCCAGCACAACTCCCTTGGCTCTGTAGTGAAAGTGTTCCAAGTGGTCAACCAGCAAGGCGATGCCGGCGGTAACCATGCCAGCAAGGCCCTCCGTCGGGTCCCTAGCTGCAGGGGAAAGACCGGTGATGGTGGCTGCCGCGCTGGCGTCGGCGGCGGGCGGGGGATGACCTTGCACTGCCATGGAACCCAAGGGCACAGCTGTCGTGATGGTGATGGTGGTGGTAGCGAGTGCCGGCGCGGTCTTGTTGGGGCCGACTGGGGGCCGGCGTGCGGCGGCTGCTGCCTCGACGCGCGCAGCCACGGCAGCGCGGTTCGAGGGTTGCTGAGCTGGAGGGAGTGCTAAGGGAGTGCTATTGGTGGATGCTGTTGTCGATGGCAGGGTTTGCGCGGATGCCGGCGCCTCGACGTCCGTGTTGGTTCGAACGTTGCAGGATGAGCCGAAAGCAGAGCTGAAGGGCTGTGGACTCGCGATGCATCGCTCAGGCGCGCCAATGGACAGGTCTGCGGCGACATCAGCTCCTGCGGCCTGTGCAGCAGCTGTCCTTGAGCGATCCGCTGAAGTAAAAATGACCACATTTGTATCAGAAGCTGCACTGATGAGCTGTTTGCAGAGTGCCTATGTTTTCACGGGGCAGGTGAATTATGGTTGGGGGGTTACAAAAAGAGGCAGGTGAAGAGCTAAAGCGATATCCTTCGCACCAACGTACCTGCAGAAGGCACGTTAACTCCGGTCCCTGACAACGATTGCTTGGGTCTGAGAGTCTATTGAGCACCGCAGGTAACCCCTCCAGGCCGATGGCATGCCCATCAAGAGTAGGACTAGAGCATTTCAATTTAATGCCCTCCATTATTCTTGGGCACTGGAAAGCCCAATCTTGGGCGAATGAATTCACGACTCAACAGCTGTCATCTGTGCATAATGACCTGCTCGCGAAACAGGCACCGCAGTGTCATGTAAACATTTTCTTACGAATAGAAATGTCTCCCTAAAACAGTGGCACGTTCAACAGCAGGAATTGTGAACGGATAGGTACTCACTCGTTTGCGAACCAAGCCCACAAAGTGCAGCTCAGGTGATGTCAGGACAAAATTGAAAGTCTTTTAATTTAAAAGGATTACGCTATAGCGACTTTTGTTCCTGTGCACGCTCGAGGAGTCGATGTCTCTGGTGCTTTCCCGCCAGCAAGTACGGCGCGGTTTCGCAGCATGCCAGACAGCTAAACACACACCCTCTGGAACCCAAAAGACATGATCATGGCTTTTTGATTTACTGTGGCATTTGCAAGGATGCTCTTACAAAGCACCTCGGAAGCGCTATGTACCCAAGCCAAACCGTAGCGCCATTTCACAGCTGTAACATGCGTAAACAAAGAACCATCATGTTCCTAATTAGTTTATGTAAATCAGATGCTCGGGGGCAGGCATTTCGGCTCGCCATGTTGGTGCTGCTACTGCTCACTGAACGGAAGCTCCAGCCGACACACGCAAAAGTAACTCGAAGGCGGCTGGATACATCATATCGGCCTCATCCTATTTGGGGCTGCGAAAGCGGGTTGCCCGCTGGAGCATTTCATGTCGTAATAGCTACTCTGGCCCCGGAGGTAAGGGCCGCGCCCGTACCGGCCCATCCGCACCGTCTGCGCGTCCCTCTGTACGACAGTAAGGCCTTCCTACTGCATCCCGAAGACACGTGAGCAGCTTTTGTCTGCAGAAGCATCTTGCAAATTACGGCACAGGCAGATTACAACAACACTGCCTTCCTTTGGAAGCTGTGTCCCACACCACACCTCTCCACCCCATCCCGCCGCCGCTCCATGGCCACCCTCAAGCCCTCCATGGCCCTTCACCTCCATCCGTAGTAGTGACCTCCCGAGTCACCTCTGCTAGCCGGAAAAACACTCCTGTCAACATAACATCGTCCTACGAAGGGAGAAGCCCTTCCCCATGCGATTAAGAGCCATAAGGGGAAAGTCATAGGGGCCCCCGGGGTGGGGTGGGGTGGGGTGGGGTGGGGGTGATTTACACCGTAGCTGTCCGGAGCTGCATTTTTGCAGCGTCCCGATGAACCTCTTTGCGCCGCACCACGGAAGCACTCGACCTTGCTGCTTTCTTCCGGCTGCTACTGCGGCTGCTACTGCTACTGCTGCTGCGAGTACTGCTGCTGTCTTCCAAAAGACGTACGATCCTTTTATATAGGGGGTTGATGGATCTGGTACGGCTGGCGTACACCTAGATCTGGATCCAAACGGATTTTAAACAACGCGGGTCCCCCCCGTACACACACACACACTCACCACCACCTTACGACCACCACTACCCTAACACCCTTTCTCCTCCCCCGAAATATTAAATGGCAGCCAATGGCGCTTGTGCCGTGGATCTGGAATCTGGGTCTTACGGGCGCCGAGATCTGGATCTATCACCGACTGGATCTTAATGACCCAGCATTGACCGCCGCCGCCGCCGCGATCGCCGCGTTTGAGCCGTACCCCTGCAACAGCTCCGTACGGCTGCAGCAGCTACTGCCCAACAAGGGCCGCGAGGCGGCAGTCTACCTGTCCCACATTGTACGACATTACGACAATCTGCCGCAGGGGCTTGTGCTCATTCACGACCATGGGCCGGCTTCCCGCCACTCGCTATGCGGGCCCTTCTTCCGGCGAGTGAGGGGGTACTATTCCGGGATCCGGGAGCAGCTGCTGGCGGCGGCGGCGCGGCGGCGGCGGCAGTCCCTAGCTAACGACGGCGACCACGACGACGACGTCGACGTTGTCGCCAAGGCTGGCATTGTCCCTCAGTTAACAACAATCGCCGGCGGCGGCGGCGGCGGGGGCGATGGCGCCGCCCGCCACCGCTCCCTCGCGGCCAGCTCGCGTCAGCGCCGCCGCCACGGCGACGGGGGCGGCTCCGCCGCCGCCAGAGGCAACGGCTCCGCCGCTGCTGTACGGCAGGCGCTGAAGGCTTTTGCTGACCAAGTGGTCAGCCTTAGTAGCGGGTGTCAGGTGTGTCTGTGTGTGTGTCTGTGTGTGTGTCTGTGTGTGTGTCTGTGTGTGTGTGTGTGTGTATGTGTGTGTGTGTGTATGTGTGTGTGTGTGTGTGTGTGTGTGCGAGAGAGAGCGAAACAACGTTGGGCGGGGATGAAAGGGGGAGTGGGTACGCACGGCGGCGGTAGGCACCCAACGAGGTAAATACGGGCAAGGATGTGAGCTGAGTGCGAGGTCGCTACGTCACTTATCAGGGCACCTCCCTAACTGGGGAGAACAAAAGGGACAAAAAAAGGAAAACTGAGGTTGCACTTGCTGAAACCCTGACTTACGTTTCTCCCTGTTTCTGCCTGTTAGTCATGTTTCATCAAGAGTTCACCTCTAATGGAGCCCTGAAGCACACTACACTACCTGCCTGCGGGTGTGTGTGTGGGGGGGGGGAACAAACAAATCTGCCCGCGGGGGGAACAAACAAACATGCAGGAGAACTGGCTTAAGGGCTGTTGCGCAGCGCTAGTCTGCGCGGAGGACCCAATGGATGAAGAGTGGGGTTCTGCCGCTACTAGTACGACAGCGGCGGCGGAAGCTGCGGCGGCGACGTTCCCCGAGCAGCGGCAGCTCCTGGAGCGTACGGCGTCAGCATCCGCCGACGCGGCGGCAGCGGATACCTCGTTGGGAGATGCATTCGGTCGGCCCGTTGGTAGTACGACAAGACGGCCGTACCATAACCGTTGCCCGTTTAAAACGTCCAGGTGGGTAGTGATGGTGGTTGACGTGATGCGGTATATGTTGCGTACGACTTGATACTGCCGCTGACGTTGCCGACGTTACCGCCGCCGCTCGGTGGCGGCAGCGACCGCTGCTGCGGCGGCGGCGGCGGCGGCGGCGACGGCGGCGACGGCCGCATCAGTGCGAAGGCCCTCACGTTGTTGAATGGCGCAACGTTTATCTTATCGGTTTCTATACGGATGCTTCAATAAAAAAAGCACCAATGATGGCAGCGGGCGAGCCTGCCGCTGCCAACCGCCGCTGCAACTCTGGACGATAAATTCCCCCCCCTCTGGACCGCCCCCTTTGCCACCCCTTGGGTCTATGACATCCCTTCCACCGTCGCTACTTCTGCGCCGCAACGCCATTCCTGCCTCTCCGCCGCCGCCGCCGCCGCCGCCGCTGGCGCTGTCGTACCACAGGTGCTTGACAAACGCGTCTGCCGTCAGCGTCCCGCTGCGTGGCGGCGCCGCCAAAGGCACGATACGCTGGCTGTACATGCACGGAGCTGGCGGACTGTATGACGTACGGTACGAGAACCAAGTCGTACTGTACGACAAATCGGCCATCTTCAGTTCTTTGGGGCTGAACAACGCGGGCTTTGGGCCTCTGTCACTTGTGCGGTACGCAGGCCCCGGTAAGGAGTGTTGGTTGGTTGGTGGAATAACAAAAAGAACAATACTTTGGGGTACGTGTTTGGGAGGGGGGGGGAGGGGGGAAAGGGTGTGTGGTTATTCGCTTCAAGCTACAGGAGCGGTAAACGTGTCTGTGTGTGCATGTGTGTGCATGTGTGTATGTGTGTGTAAAAATGTTTTTCCCCATGCATGCACACACAGACGTTCGTAATGGCCCCTGGCGCTGTCACGTTTTGCACATACACACAGCCAAGGGGGGGTCCCCCAACCACCCACATCCTCATAATTCCTTCCGCGAGTTTACATACACACACCAATACACACCGACACGGCCGCTCCCCCCGCCCCTCCCCGCCCCTCCAGACGCCTCCGAGACGCTGCGCATGCAGACCTCCTCCACCCGCGTCCTCGACTACCCGGCGGGGCAGGCTCAGAGGACCCCGCAGGAGACCTTCGCCCAGCTGGGGAAGATACTCTCTGCGCATGACTTCGCACATCGCAAGGTGCTTGTGGTGGGGTGAGGGGGAGTTGAAAAGGGGACGTGTGTGGGTGGTGAGGGGGTTGGAATTATGTTACGTTGATGATGATGATGATGATGATGATGATGATGATGCAAGAGTCCAAGAAACCATGGCTGCCGGTCGCAGGTGGGGCGGCCTCTTCAGGGTTTCTGTCCATCACTCTTCCCCCCCGCCGCCAATCCCCCCACCGCCTTAAACCCGTTCCCGGTTTTCCACACATACGCTACACGCCACACGCGCCTTCCGTACATACACACAAACCCCTCCACCCCCACCTTTCCCGGCACGAACAGACGCTCGGCAACTTCAAGTCCTGCTGTGCCAGCATGATGCTGCGTCCCAAGCACATACGGCGCTGGCCCAAGACGCTGTACGAGCAGATGCTGTCGTACACATTGGACGATAAGAACACGTACCACGCATCGCTGGCGGTGTCGCACCATGGCTGGGCGATGTGGTGAGTCCGGGGCGCCGCTGATGGGGGGGGGTGGAGGGGTGAGGTGACGTTTGGGTATGGATGGGGTGAGGGGTGTGTGGGGGTGGGGGAGGTTAAGACGAACCCCACTGGCGAATGAAGCGCAGATCACCAGGGGTATAGACGGATATAGTCCAGGAGAGGAAGATAAATGCTGTGTGGGGAGGGGGGAATAGTTGGGGGCTCGCCTCGCCTCGGTGGTGGATGGTGGTTGCGAGCTGCATCTGTCCTTGATATCACACGGGGGACCGGGCCCCCGAGAACTATAGGGGGGACATATTCCCCAATTGGACTTCAGTTTCACTTTGAAATTTCTCGAAATTTGGATTCCAGCTTCGGTGTGGGTTGGATGGATGGGTGAGCGGTCTGCAGCAATGGGGGGGGACTTACAATCCTTGTTCCAATATACCCTGAAAGCGAGCGAGCTTACTGGGGGCGGGGGGAGCCCCCGTACATGGGTATGAGGGCATAAAGACGCCCCCATTTCTTTTCTTTTCCTTTCCCTTCCTTTGTTTTCTTTCTTTTCCCGCACCCGACCCCTGAGTTCCCTCCTCCCCTTCCCCTGCGTCCCCCTCCGCCTCTGTTCCTTTCCCCCGCACCACCTTTTCCCCACAAAAAAACACACACGCACACACCGCGTAGGTCGCCCGCTGACGTGGGACCTCAAGAGCTGTTGCGGTACTTCGAAGTGGATTTGTTGCAGCTCAACGTGCGCGGATGTCCGGGTTGGAGGGTTCTAGAAGAGGAGGTGGAGTAGGAGGGGTGGTAGTAGTAGTAGTAGTAGTGGTAGTAGTGGCAGGTGGTTTTCGGGGGTTGGGGGGCCAGATGCACCCCTCGGCTGGTTAGTCTCTCGTGCATTCCGCCGCCGGGTCAGACCGGGTACGAGGAGTTACGACGGCCGGCACTAAGCAGCAGCGTTCCCCACCTACCGGGGGTAGCGCTACAGCTAAACGGGCTCTAGGTCCGCTGGTCGCCTAGCAGTGTGACGAAGTCGCACTCGGGGGGTTCTTACTAGGGGCGGAAAGTACAGAAAAAAACTCGAGAGCACGCGTGTATGTATGTATGTATGTATGTACATGTAAAATAGGTATATATATGTGCGTTTGTGGGTTTGGGCTGGATGAGAGCTGTACTACAGTGATGCCGGGGAGGCGGGAAGTCCAATGAAGTGTGGGAGGGACCGTACGGCAGCGGCTTACGGCAGCAGCGGCCAGGAGTTTTGGGGACTGCGAGCAAATCTGGGGTCCGGCCGTGGGTTCGACGTGGTGTTTTCATCTGTGAATGGAACACACACATACGCACATACAGTTTGAAATTGAGGACTTCTGAACTTCTGATGAAAAGGAGGGAAGATGCATGATATCTGCATTCTTATTTCCAATTTTTTATATTTTCCATTTCACATGCGTCAACAATAATCAACGTTTGATTTTAGCAATTCCGGTGACTCGGTGTTGGATCCACTATAGCGAGATCCAACCTCGCAATGAATTTTGAAATCTAAAATCAAACGCCGCGCCATGCCTCTGTTCTTGCATCGGATATGTCCGTCCCTTCAGCCAAGCGGGAAAACATGCGATACCAAAGCACGAACGCGAGCACGTGTCCGCCCCAGGTTGTTTATTTGCCCTGGGGGCTGGCCCCGGGGCCTTGGGTCAACGAGTCAACAGCTGGGACCGAGTGGCCAAGTAATCTTGTCCGAATCCAACATTTAAAATCCAACAGGCCACGTTTGATACATAAATATAAAACTACCTCATTTGAGTTTGAATTTGAGTTTGAGCTCAGCGTAAGAGTCCAGTTTGGCATTGCTTAAACGTCATCGCGTGATCCGTACTCACTACTAACTTATTGTGGGGAAGGCCATTGCGTCTGCGACCACACTCCCGCGGTACCCAAACCCTTCAAAGACAATTCCGATCAGCCATTTGGCTGTTAGTGGGAGGGCGGGTGGGCCGCTCGCACGGCAATCGAGTAGAGAGTACGAAAATAACCTAATGCAGTCATCGACAGCAGAAAACGTAAGCCTCCAGCCTCATGCCGACTCTCTTACCTACCATTCATATTCTCTACCTCGTTCCCAAGACTCCGCCGCGTTGCCTCTAGTTCGGCTCGTGCCACAGGTAACTTCGCTCGTCGCTACTTTGCCATTCACCTTCGCCTCCACCCAGCCTCTGCTTCTCCACAGAAGCGGCGACCTCCTTCGCCGTTGTTACGCCTCGTCTATGCGAATCCTCCTCATCCGACTGTGTCTTCTGCCTACCCGGTGCGCGCCCCCTCTCTCTGCGCATCCTTTTCTCTGGCCCTCTCTTACGGTTGCCTACCTTACTGCAGGACTCGCCCCTTGCCTGTCCGGTGCCGGGCAGGCTTTCCTTGCCTTCCCCGGCCCTACTTGGG